TTGCATAATTCCTCCTGTCCGGAAATTCGTTCCCCTGGTTGCTCTTCACCTTCTGATGCCAAGTATCACACACAATTTCCTGTTTCAAGAAAGATATGTTTAAATCAGAGCTCTGCGTGGCCTAGTTTACGAGAGGATAATCAAATAATTCCCTGATTTACCAATTAATCTTGAAATTTTTAATTTTCAGATAGAATGTGAATTTGAACTTCACGCGCAATTTAATTTGGCAATTAACAATGAAGGTGGAAATTATCGACGACAATTAAGAGGATCCTCTTTTTAGTACGATTTCGTTGACCTGACAAAGTACAAAATCGAGATTTCTTTGCTTCTACATACACGTCCGTTGCATTCAACAGCTGTATCTTAATCTACCTGCGAAAAGTATCTTCCTGGCAGAAAGTATCATTTAATAGTTGGAATTTTACAAACGTAGTCATTGTCCCGAGACTTTCGAGCGGTGCTTGCGGGTAGAGATACACGGACGCTGAAGCACTCTGACTGGCGTGCGCGTGTATTTGCATACACGTGAAATAGAGACCTCTAGTGGATACCCACTCTAGGGGTTGTGTAAACTGACCAGCTTGTGCAAACTGACTACGTTTCAAGCTGCATCGGTTGGAAATTTTTTTACATTCGAGTGTGTTGATTGTATAATACTCAGGCCTCCATGAAACGAATGTTCGCGAGGCATCGAACTCGACTCGGGTAAATACATATCGTATTGGACTTGATCCTATCTCTAATCACGACGAGAAAGACACGGAGAGAGCGAAGGTGATGAGGACGACCGAAGATGAGGAGAGAGACAACGACGACGACGAACGAGAGACCAACCGGGCGGCCCGGCGATATAGTGAAAGTAATAACAGCGAAACGTGCGCGTACACACCGGCGAAATCACGCACTCAGGCCGACTCACTGGACCACTGGTTCTCTACGTGACCGGTGCTTAAGCTATTTTTCGATACGACCGGTACTTAGGTGCACGCCGGCACTACACTAGCCGCCCGCTGGGCTCTCCCATAGAAAACCCACCACCGAGGAAGATCCTCGCCGCGTCCTTGGGAAACTCGAGGAGGCCGAGGACGAAGCGGTCAACGACTAAGAAAGGGGAAGCGAAGGAACGGATAATTGTAGAACGGATGTATCCCGGCGATGTATCTACCGTGAAATTCGAGTGAAAACGATCGCGCCGTGGCCGCGCCGCGCCACGCCGCTCGTGATCGCTTGGAAAACAAGCGGATAGTCCGCTTTCGTTTTTCTTCTAGATTCCCCTGTCTCCCGCCCCACCGCCCCTCCGCCCTTCGCTCCTTCGTAACGCAACTTTGTCTCGACGCTTCGGCGCATTAACGATCGAAGCATGTGTTCGATGATGTTGCGATATATCGGCGTAGACTGTTCATAATTTTATATCAAACCTGTTTAATAGCGGCGAGGAGGAAAGAAAAAAAAAGACAGAAAAAGAAGAAAGAAAGAGCGGACACGTAATGGCGATCGAGGGGAACCGAACGGAAGGGGAGATTTCTTTGTGGCGTGAGGGATTGGTCGGGACTGACTCGAAAGTGACTCGTGGAAATTCGAGCGAGGAACGGGTCTTTTTTGCCGCGTCTGCAAACTATTGTACCCGCGGTATTTTCATCCGGTATCTTCGCCTGAAACCGGAAAGCTGCCACTTTGTTCGCAACACTTGTAAAACCGGCGGCTGCAAAAAGTATTATACATCCGCTGAATAATTGTACTTATTAGGACTTCCACGTGCGAAATACTTTAAATTTCATATCACTTAGTGGTAGATTTACAACACTGCAAAAATTTAACAAAACGAAGAGACGAAAGTATATTTCACTGGAAAGTAAAGCTGTGTGCGATGTGCTTTTCCACTTTTTTTTTTGAACCTTCTGTTCGAAACGATTCAATGAAAACGTATATTAATAAAAAATATATATTATTTGTATTAATATTTTTATTTTATATTATATATTATATATTATATATTAGTTTTATTTTATATATTATATATTATATATTATGTATTATATTATTCATATTTATATACATATATATATATATATTTATTTATATATATAACTCACGTCTCTCTCACGCGCCTAAGTCACGGCCCTCACCCCGCATATTTTATTATAGGAAAAATGAATGTTCGTTCGATGCGACGGTTGGAATTGCGGTAGCGGACTCGATGGCTTCAAGAGACTGCTGGCATCCAGGCTGCCGTATAAATTTACGCTATCACGATGTATCCAACATACTACGTAGTTATGTGTATATATAGATACATACACGCGTGTGTGTGTAATAATGTATAAAAATATTATGTGCACAGAGGATCTAACGTGGGATGGGCGGGTGTGTGTGTCCGCAGAAAGTTGGAGAGGGAAATCGGGTCACGCCGAAATATTTTTCCGCGCCTTTCCATTTTACTAAGCGAAGGTTAGGGGATGTCTGTGGGTACGTGTGCATGCGCGCGTGCCAGCGCGTTTCTACCAAGGAGCACACACATACACGGTCAAATTTTCTCTCCTTAGTAGTACATGTACAAAGCGCTCGGATATATCTGGCACAATTATGAATGGTTTGACGCTTTCGCAGGCAAACTGAGCGTGCATCTTAAATCGAGACGATTGGTGCGAAAACGAGAAAAATGTGAAGAGAAAATGAAAGACAGCTGGAAGAGACGCCATGTACGCGTCTCGATAGCGTAGAACAGAGTGAAAACGATCTTTAACTAACGATGTAAATGTAAATGTAGTTTCGAGAATATTATAAATGAGTGGTAGAAATTCGAGATATTATTTTTTGTTGTTGTTTACGATTCCTAGCTCTCTGAATTAATTTGGAGTATCGAAAATTTCAAACGTTTCTTGAAGTGGTGACGAATAAAAATTCCTTCGCGTAATAAAATATTTCCACGTGATATGAAATATGTGAGAGTGAATTGATTTTTTATTTTTTAGGAAATAGAATTTATATCGACTGAATACATAGTGTGAATTTTGGGAAATTTTCGATAATCCTGCAGTTAAGAGACAACAATGTACGCGCGGAAAGAAAATGTAGAAAATTTACGCACGTAATTTGTAAAAATCCTCAGCTTAAAGACCGGTCTGGTAAAGTCGATCGATCGGTGGTAATTTTAGCAGCAAATTGTGTAACGGTATCGATACCAGCACATGGTGTCCCGTAAAATAAACGCGCGATTATTCCCCGGTATCTTTAAATAACGCACCGTGGCGATTTACGCGTTTTCTGCTTTCAGAATGCAATTTCTAGCATCTTCAAGTCGCCTTTATTACAACCATAAATCGAGAGCTACACAGAGCAGTGTTACCAAAATCGTACCACTTAAAATATACTGCGCTGTATCGCCCATTTACCGCGAATTTTTCTGCATTCTAATGCCGAGAATTAATGGCTAATGGCCAAGAAACCGGCTATTACACACGTTTAACTTCCTTCTAAGAACAAATTTTTTTAAAGGATGATGCAAAATTAATGCGATTTTAGTGAATAATTCTCTGAATCGCGTCTATCCATTTTTCGAACGCGCACTTCGAAAATAAATGAAACGATCAGGAATAACATTAAAAACAATTATTTACATTCTATTTCATTAAATGTCATTCGAAAAATTAGTTGAAATCGTTATATTCAGTAGCTTCAAATAAATTTGCGTTACTTGTATTGGGAGCATTGGTCATCGAGGAAGAGTGAGAGAACAGAAAAATCTAAAATTTCAGAGGCCTGGAATTTTTATGAAGAGGAACGAAAAAATATTTAAAGTAAATATCCGAAAACAATTATATAATCCTCAAATATGAGATTTTGAACCTCAACTCTGTCAACAGTTTTACACTGGCAATGGAAGATAAAATTTGTACAACACTGTGCGAGATTCAAAGAATTTCCCTTCTCTGTTAAATTACTCTTTTCCACATTAAGGGACAGCAGATCGCAATTACTCTTGGCCAGAGCACAGAAACAACTGGTAATAGCTTAATCTGAGAAACAGACGAGGCGCGTCATTAGGAAATAAGAGCATAAATTCGCGCTGTTACTCCCGTTCAAGTGAAGAAATAATTTGCCGGATAATAGCGTGAAATTGTAATTAGATTTTGTAACAACAGCTTAATAATCATCGTCCAATATCTCGCGATTAATAGTAGCAATTTTCGTTGTTAGCCAACAATGTATAAACTCGGTGAATCTTTGTTGAAGATGTTCCTTCGAAAACAGTTGTTTGATATTTTTATCCAGGAAACGATGGATCAGAGTAACGAACTAGAGAAACGCGATTAGTACGATTAATCGTCAGCCTAGGTTCGTCTCGATTAAACCACACAATGAAATTAATGTAAGTGGTTATACCGTACAGTTTGAATTGGTAGCATGAATCACCAATCGTTGCTTCAACGCCGTGTTTGCTTGCTACTCGTACTATTGAATTAGGTTTGTTTCTGATTGCCCGATTTGATGCCAATGGTTGTAATCAATCCGAGATTGCTAACGAAACGTTAATATTTATACTGATGCTGGCTCGTGATTTTCCTCTTTCATACATTTAACAGCAAAACTCGTTTCTGAAGATCGGGATAGCTTTTAAAAATATCTGTTAAATACTTCATTTGACAATCGGAGAGTTTAATGAAATAATTCATTCTGATGGGTTAATAATCACCACTTAGTATTCGTAATGAACACGTAAATAATAGACGCGCCGTTTGCACTGTGCTTCCATAAATTTTGATTAATATCACGGATCGAATATATTTGAAAGGCGAAACTTCGTTTTGCATAAAAATCAGAAAGCATCATTTACTTTGCTCGATGGTGAATTACCGGTCTTTGGGAGGCATTATTTCATAAAGTATCGGAATTAAATAATTTTCATGCTTGATGAGTAATCGATTGAAGGAAAACACACTTAATTTCATTGTCGTTGATTGATCGCTGATAATTACATATGGAGGATTACTTACGAATGGTTTTTCAGCACCGTTTCAATCGTGTTCGTGATGACAGACCAAATGAAAACGGATCCATCCGAAGATCCGACAGCTATGTACTGACCGTCTGGACTGAATGTTGCTCGCGTCCAATCGAAGCCGACTTTAAACCCATCGGCGCTAAAAGTCAAAGCAATGCAAATTCCGAAGCTGTTTTATCAAAATTAAATTAAATTGTTAAATTAAATCAAAAGTTAATAAGCTTTTAGACTAAGCTCCAACGTTAATATTATTCGTCGGTAGAACAAATTTCTCACGAAATTCCTCTTTTCCACTTTTGAACGCTTTTAAACTATCTTTGAAATTTTGATCACTTGGATGATAATTTAGAAATTTTAAATGAAGCAAAACGGTGTAAAATTTCGAAAGTAGCAGACTTATTTTTCTATCTTATCTCGTGATTCGTGCGTATGTATGTACGGTTTCAGATTTCCACTCACGTAAATGATCCAATGATCTTCTTCATCCGTAGATCAATGAGTTTCAGCGTGTCGTCTCTGACGCAGCTGAGAAGGTAATTTGCATCTGAAAACAAGCAAGGTGTCGCTACTTGAATTTGCATGTCGTTAATGTTAAAGTTAAATTGGTTGTGCTAATATGGTTAGCCACAGAATGGCTTCGACCACGCTGTTTGAACAAACATAATAGGCAATTGCTGATTACGTTCTCATTTCGTTCGAGTGACGAGGCTTTTTTTCTCGCGGTATCGCGTGGTACTGTTAGTCCAACGACGACAGAAACGAAGAGGAAGGGGGAAAGAAGAATGAGAGAAAAAGGAAACGAAGAGTGAAAAAAGGAAATACGTTTACCGCAGCATAAAATGCACCGAGACGAATCCGCTAAGTAAATAATTCCCTTTCAAGACGTATAAATCTTATGGGGAGGCGTTCGAGAACGGTTTCATTGTGAATCTAGCGGCCACGTTTCCTAAGGAATAGTATATTATACTTTAATGGAAGTATACATAATGTATTACGGTGAATGATAAAGGAAAAGCATTAGAGCTGGCGCGATGTAATCGAGCAGAATTTTATAGTCTCCGGCAATATCGTCTCGTTCCGCATCCTATTTCCGCATTACCGAAATTAATGAAACGGTGCCTGCGTCTTCCCGACGAATTCATTAATACGTATGACGACTTAACAGATGTTTCCCGAATATGAATATTTCAAAAAGCAGCACGGAATATTAATGGAATGTTAATAGATTCGTGGAATAAAATTTTAACCGTGCGCAGTTCTCTTTGAAATATCGTACGTACTCACAGTGAAATTAATTTCTAGTCATCCAGTAATTTCATGGTTCCTCGTTTATGAACGTTCCTCGTATATTTAATTATCAATATTAGAATTTGGAATCTTTTTCGGCACGTTTCCCTTATTTACAATCTTTTTTTTAAATGTAATTTAAAATATTGCAAAGAACATTATTTTGAAATTTAAAGAAATTTTGATATATTTTCTAAATAACTAAATAAATATTTTATAAATAACTATGACAAAAGAGTTGAGAGGAAGCTGTGTAAAGCGTGTAAGAAAAAGAGATACTCACCACGAGATAAATCTAGCGACGTTACTTTCCCTTCCAGTAAAATATCGTTCGAGCTGGACTCGGCTCTGGTATCCCAAAATCGAATTCTTTGATCAAAATGACCACTAATTATCGTGGAGCCAGCACCGTCGGATGTCACGAGATCGTTGCAACTCGAGCCCGCGAACTTTGTTTCTATACCTGAAAAAATAAAATTTAGCTCGCATCAGGTATCCACGTATATACTGCAGCAAAAAATTTCTTAAACGTCCAATCGTTATTGTGAACTTTTATCAAATGTTGTTCAATTAATTAATTAGGAACTTTATTAAATTAATTATATACACATTGAAAAATCATTCACTGTTTCTTCTAGAAGCTCAGAAGAAATATCTACAGTAGTTTCCTCGCAGTAATAGTATTTAATAAACTATCGAGTACCATTTAATGTTAATCATAATTAATCAGTTAGACTAAAAATTTTCTCCGACGCGTGTATTATTGTATTAGAACAATGTTCAATTAATTAATTAGGAACTCTATTAAATTAATTATATACACTTTCTTCTAGAAGCTTAGAAAAAATATTTACAGTAGTTTCCTCGCAGGAATACTATTTAATAAACTATTGAGTACCATTTTAATGTTAATCATAATTAATCAGTTAGACTAAAAATTTTCTCCGACGCGTGTATTATTGTATTAGAACAATGCTCCGTCGTACAAAGAATGAGAGTGACAATCTCGTTTCTAGATCTGAAATATCAATCGGATCGCGTGTTTCCACATTCCGACATAAAATCTGCTTACGTCGGTACACCTAAGTTGACGGGCATGATGCATCGCCACGAAGTAATTGGACCAGGTAATTCCATCTTCATAGGAAGCACAGTGCCTCGAGCGATATCGATAACCGACGTATCGTCGTGGTAAGTTCGACAAGCTAATTGATCGAAGCTAGTAAATCATCTTTGACTTAATATAGATCACCATCGACATGGTGAAACGGACATTTCTATGTAAAATTCATAATCGTACGAACGGACAGCTCGGAGTCAGCCGCCTGACTTTATTTACGATTGCCTCGTGTTCACACGAAATCAATAATTGACCGCCGGTCAATCCTCGAATAATCCTTGTCACGGGATTCTTTTACTGCAGGCATACTAAATTCTTCGAAAGAATATTAGGTAACTTTCGCTTTCTCGCTCTTTTCTGTGAAACTTTTCTCAAAGAGTTGAAAAAAGGAAAAAGAAAGTTGGCACACGAAGAAACACATTCTGTGAAAAATTGTATAATAGAAATTAATTGCAACAGTTAATTTCCTGCGAACGTACTTTTCAATTCCAGTTCAATTCCTTTATTGTTTAAGACACGAGAGAATGAAATAAAAATATTATAATCATAATTATGTCAATCTTTCATCTGTGAAAGACAATTTAAAAGGTTTTAATTAAATTTCTTGAAACAGACTAGTCTTTTCTCAGAGACTCATGACAACTGTAAATAGTCAATTTATTTAAAAAAAAAGAAACGTTCATTTCGTCTTCTTCACCGGCAGAATACTCTCCGATGGAATCAAACGAGTTTTCAATTTTTGCTTGCTCGGCGATAACAAAAACTCGCCGATGCGCGAGTATTAATCGCCCCGTACATATGTTACCTATGTATTTACACAAAGTTTACATATGCGTTTTATGCGCTTTGTATCCGTTTCCTCTGTTACAGCAACCTCTGGAACAGCAACCAGTTTCCGGATTCGAGCAACTGAAGTACAGTACTAAAGTACCTAAGCGTTTCTCGTCGTCGATTCACTTTTCCTGCCCGCTACCCGTATTAGCCGAGAAGGGTTCTCAATGGATTACAGTTAACTATAAGCGCGTGCTTCCGAGCGCTTTCAATCCCGCGAACACGCTCCCTCTTTTGTGAGTTTTTGAGACTAATCTACATTTCTAACGACCTGTGTCAAGCAATTCATCCACCGTGAAAGCGTACACGCGGCATGAAACGATTTCCGCGAATGAGTAATGGATCTTTCAGATATAAGCACCAAGCGTGTAGCAAAAAGAAAGAAAAGAAAAAAAAAAAGGAAAGAAAAAATTATTGAAACAGGAAACAAATTACGTGCTCTGTGCTTGTTCGTGGCGTCGTGTATCGCTAATTACGAAAATATCCTCGAATGAAACGGATTTAAAGACCGAAAGGACAAAGGAGAACGCACGAATATAGATAAATCATTGCGTACAACAGATTAATTGCGTTCAACAGTGTGACACATCGATTAATAGCGTGCTCGTGTGATTCTCAGCGATTCTTGTTAATTCAGGTAAATCCTGAAAATAGTCAAAAATTGCTTCGCAGTTAATTAACCAGAATCACCGACCTGCAGTCGGGTAGTATTTAAACACGCCATACGTCGATGCGTTATAAATAAAAGGATGAAAATAAACCTCAAATGAGATCAACGCGACGCGACAGATATTCCGAGCGCGATAACTATTAGCATGCATTTGCTGAAGAATTATTCAAGTGGAAGGTAAGAAGGTATGATACGATTTCACGGGATCGTCGTGCTCCTCCGCCGGCGGGATATCTTCGTCGAACATTCGCCGTATTATATAAACGAAAACACGGCAATTAAAACGGAAAGGAACGGCTGCAGCTTGTATCTGCCCTAATCTGATGCAGCTGCGAAACACGAATAAGACGATAGGGAGCCAGCAGGGAAACGGGGTAACAATAATCTGATAGAAAACAGCTGATCCACTTTAAGCGTCGGTTTTTGTCTTAAAGCGTCCTGGCTAAACAATAATTCACGCTTAAACGCGCTTTCAGCAGCGGCGCTCCCCATTGTCCGCTCCTTGCGTAGCGAGATTTATTTGCGCGAAACTTTTGTACCACCACTACCCGCCGTCGTCCGCCTTTCCCTGATAGCAGCGGCGGTGGCCGCCGCTTGGTTTTCACTATTTTGCCCGTAGGACCGCGTTCACGGACAAAAGCGTGAGAACTCACTCCCCTCCACCGAACCAAAATGAATGTCCGGTCTGCGTCTGTGTGTATCAACCTGGCCACCGCTCTTCCCCTATTCCCCTCCCGCCTGTGTGAAATTAACTCGGATTTAACTCGTAAAAGTGTACAAATTTCGGGCGAACGGTTCAAGTGTGCCTCGCTGCATTTGCTAAACCTGCTTTATATTTATACGTGTAAAGAAAGAGAGAGAGAGAGAGAATTGAAAGAGAAAAAAGAACTCGTTTGAGCGCGTTTGCGCTATTTTTTGGAGAGAGAGAGAGAAAAGGGAAAAAAGGGAAAAGATTGAAGTTTCGCCTTTCCGTATTTAGATTCTCTGAGTGTTCGTATCCTTCCTCTGCTGTTCTATCATCGATTTACAGAGTGAATTGACCAGAAGGTGGGGTTAGAAAGAATTCGGAGACAGTGATCATTTTAGTAGACTAGGAACGCGAATTTGAAAAATGTAGATTTAGAAAACAAATATGAAAATTGAAAATTATTGAACTTTCAAAGTGCAAGAATATTTGTAGGATCTCATTAATGAGTTTTACAAGACGATGCAAAGAAGAACAAGGAATTTTCACGGTGTGACCGGAAGTAGAATAAGACCATCGTAGTCAGACAGTATTAAGAGTCTTCCTAAAAGTTGAACAGTTATGAAATGGAGATAATTTTCATCGCTCTGATACCTGAACACGTGACACTCTAGTCACAGAAATATTTAAATCAATTACACGTAATCGGAGAAATATTTAAATCAATGTAGAATGGTTCGTCGTCTCAATCAAGTAAAATTATACGTCTAATTGACTCGCAATTTCGTACATTTTTCAAATCAGCATTAATTGTACAGCTAAGAGAGCCTCGAAAGGTGAGGTTTCTTCTGTTTCCTGGACACACTTTCAGTGAAACCTCGAAATTGATACCCCGATATAATCGACAGCCACTCGCGTCGCCTCTCGATTCATTCTCGTCGTAAAAAAATTATATCACCTCCTCCCCGTCGTGCAATCTCACCGAAACACCTTACACTTGGAGAGAAAATTACGCGGAGGAATCGGATTTTTATTACCGGATTGATGATTTAAAACGGGGGATAAGCCGAGATTATTTGCAACCTCGGTTCGGGACCGGTTCGGCTGCGGTCATATCCCGAAAATGAAGTACAGATCGTCGCTGGAGATTCAGCCGGTCGAGAGTATACCAAGAGACCCTCGTCGCTTTCGTGCTTTCCTGCCGAGATCTCGCGCGATAAGCGGCACTTTCGAGAAAAAGAGGCAAACGTGATAATTCGGCGGCCGCGAAAGTGGCTATTCCGCGGAAAAACGGCCCAAAACACGGCCCATTTTGATAAATAAGTGTGGCAATTTAAAGGGTGAGAAAAGTAAATTGATCACGGCTCGAAGTGATATGGGACGATGGGCGACGAAAGCTTGCCAATCGGTTGCAAATGTATGCGGGATTTACAATTCGATTCCTATGGACGGTTGACTAATCTCGGTGAAACCATATCATTCGAAGAACTCCCGTCCGAGATATCGATTTACACTCTGGTCAACATTGCTACAGGGGTAGCTACCGAGGTACTGCCGGTGGTGTACCATCTCTATCGGGGTGGGTGAAGTTCTATTGACAAAGGATACACGACGTAGCCCTGCCACGGATGATAGCGCGCCGGCTCGTATTAATTTGCAAGATCCGAGCGAACGATCATTGTGAAATTTAGCCGCAAGTCGCCGCGAGATTGTTGCCGCATTCGGCCCGTTGACACGGAACTTTTGTGCAAACAACCAAAAAGGATAATTAACCCTTCATTGTTATTGAGGGGGTAGAATACTCCGTGCCGAAATGAAACGAAGTTCCAATAATGAGAGAGAGAAAGAGAGTAAACACGACTGCGTTTCTCGTACTTCGACAAGGATACCATTTTTTTGAGCAATTTTCATATATGTAACCACGAATTAAAGGATCCAACGAAAGAATAGGTCGAACGTTGCAAAATGAAATTTTTCACGATGTCTACTTATTATCTCTCAATTTACAAATAACAATCTTAATTACAAAAATTGCCTTGCTGTTCTTCATAAAAAAAAAAAAAAAAGGTTTAATGTCTCGTTTCATTGAAACGTAGTCCCGAATCATTACGTAAAAATTGTTTATTATGAAAAAGTGGGCTTTTTGTTTGAAGAGAAATTTAAAACTATACGATGAAAATATATATCGTTAAATCGTGAGGGATGTAGGGTGATATCTAACGAAAGATATCGTTTTGTACGTATTATTAGGATGAATATTTCTCGTGCGAGCGCGGCTGACAATTTTCACGTGCGCATAAATTGATATTGCAGAGACGGGGAACTAACAGTTTTATTTCTATGCGGTGCTTATTCCTAAAATAATCCGATATTTGTTGACTAGATTCCACGTAAATGTTTATATAGCAAATACAGCAGACTAAATTATTTTCATCGCTGACACATGTGTATCACAGATCCTCGATACACGCGACGAGATCATAGCATTTCGTTATTCTTTCAATTGTTTTTTCCTCTTTTCTTTTCTTTTTTTTTTTGTATTGCTAAAAAATTATATTATTTTTTCCACTGAGATTTTCTGAAAACGATGGAACTTGCGAACGTGTGTCGAAGCTCGCAAAAGTTTGTGAAAATAATTCTGTGGAATAGAATTTAATATAAATCAAATATATAATACACAAAATTTTACGAATTTTATTACATCATTTAAAAATTCCACGATTTATAAATTTCCGAGCAATTGATATATGTATTCAATTTAATATTGTACAGAGTGAAAATTTTCTTGCTTTTAAAGTTTCTCTCTGGAACCAAAATATCAAAAGAAATTGATTCGATTATCGGTACTTGTGCTACTGGAACTTAAAATTTAGAAGATTTCTCTGCGAAAGATTTGAATCTAGAAGACTTCTGCTTCAATTCTCTATTAGAGAAAATATTAAGAGAAATTGCGAAAAACGCTTCCTGTTGCTCGAGGAAAAGAGTAGAAACATGAATATTAAAAATATTCGCGCGGCGAACTTCTTCTTAATACAGTTCGAAAGGGAAAAAGGGTAGGGGGGACGGGGGTAAAAATGAAATTTCCATGCCAACAACGACAACGTATTATACGTCTTCGTTAACGGTCTGTGTACAAGCAATTTGCATTTCATTAAAATTTTCGCGCTGAAATATTCAGTTTTAAGACACTGGGCGATTCGCCAAATAATCTATTCAAAAAACTTGGCGGAACTTTTATATTAAAACCGGCGGAACAGAATTAAGGCTGTCTCGTTACAAGCTGATCTAAATTAAATTTCTTCTTGTCCGTAACTTCCCCGTTTAATCGTTCGTCCCATCTACCTTGAAAATGGCCGGCATTTCATCCCCCGCATGAATTTACCAATTTCTTATCGAATCCTTTTTATCCGTGAAACATCCATCCGTTAGAGCCGTCATCGCCGATCACGAACAAAAGCCTCGTCCCCGCGTTTCGACAAGAAAACTGCAGGTCCCAGCAAAACTTCGAAAAGATTTCGCCAACTGAACGATAAGAACGTTATCGTGTTAATTAATCTCGGCAAGTGACGACGCAACGAAGGATCACCTCCTTTCGTTTCGATCCTTTTCACCACCGTGCCGCGCCGCGCCGCGCCGCGTCGCCTTTCAACCCCGAATATATTAAAAATCCTCCCGGGAGATGCCGCGAAGTTTCAAGCGTTAAGTTATTATAATCAACGCGGCGAACTACGCGCGAGGTATGAATAACGTGACTCGATTACTATTATAATTACCGTGCGATGAGATTTGCGACTTGAGAACACTTCCGAGAGCTTCTTGGCTCGATTTTTTTGCACTTGCGCGATTGTTTCTCGAGGAGTTCGATTTAAAAAAAAAAAAAAAAAGAGAGAGAAAAAGATATCTTTCTGACACGTCCTTCTGCGTCTTCATTCTTAAAAATGCAGACGTTTCCGGCGACTGATATATTCGCTGGCGACGTCAACGCCTCCGCCTTTTCATTTTTCGACCGTTCTGATTCAGTAATTTTTGTTGTTTCTCTGTATCTCGAACTTCTTGCAGCCACTGACACGTAGTCCGTGGACGTGGCCCTGGCCCGGAGCCAACGTCTCGTTTGAAAAATCCGCGATATAATTTCTTACATGCGATGCTCTAACTATTTGCAAGAGTGGAATAAATTTACCGGGCAGTATCCCGGAACTTTGCTATTCTTTACAGTTACGACAACGAGACGAAAGTTATGCGAATGCACGACAAAGGACGAGTTGAATTCAGTTTCGACGTGGAATGGAAGTTTCAATTTTTTCTTTTCTTTATAGGGTAACACCTATTTTATGTATCGTAGCTGGCGAAGTTATCGCGCAATCACGTCGACGTTATTTTAGATTCCTCTGCTGCGAGCGACGTTATGCCTCCTGATGACTCGAATTAAGTGTGTAATGGTTTTACGAGCGGTCGTAAGTAGCGAGAAAGCAGTGAGAGACGAGTGTGCTAAGAATCGAGTGTAAAGACGCGAGAAAATTGAACTACCCACGTGTGGGAAGTTTTTCGTAACATGATTTGTTACGCGACATGAAAATATTTGGAATAAATAGTTGACACTTGTAAATTAACACTTGTACTTACGTCGGTAATCACGAATTCTTATGCAACACCTCGAGACGCGTGCAATTACGCGTGTCAAACGGCAGAGGAATTTCAAAACAAAACAATGATAATACTTGTTAATACCAGGTAATGCCAGAGTCGGATAATACCAGATTATATCAATTTCACGCTCGAACGGTTAAAGAACGATGTTCAATTCCTTGACCTGTTCCACTTGTACAACTTTTTTATTTTTACTCAACTGCGAATCGAGAGAAAACTAAACTGGTTCGCGTATTGATAAGCTAACCACAATACTTCAACCGAACTCCTTCGAAACGCTACAACATATTTCTCTACCTGCAATATTATCAGTCTTCAAACTGATCAAACTATTATTTGAATTCAAACGATACAAATTCGAACAAGAAGACACTCATACTCGATTTCAAGAATTTAGATCGAGTACTATTATCTCACAGAATTTAGGTGAAGTTAGTTCAAGTTATTTAAAGATCAAACACAGATACTTGAACGTTTAAATAACATTCGAAAAGCATAAAAATCTCTCAGGTACGAAGTGTTGTTCCATCTGCTTGAAATATATCGTTCTGTGAAACAGAAATTCTCTTACACAAGAGATTTCAACGTTCTCGAATGCTTTCCAACACTTTGATCGAAAGCATTTTGCCAGAAATAGTATTCCGCAGAGAAAGTGTTTCCTCGCTGTAAATCTGCAACACGCTGATTGATTTCACGATCGATAATAAATCGTGACTGACGGTCGTTCGTTTTTTCCTGAAACAGAATTCGCCCGCGTACAGTTCAAGGGGTGGTTTGAAGTTCTGTGTCGTTTGTAATGGACGTACACACGAACAGTCAGAGCTCCTTTTATTGTTCCCCTCCCCTCTCCGAACCCCTCGACGCTAGCAAGTATATTAACTGAATATTCATGACTAATGAGAATAACGAGGGAACGCGATTGCCGGTAATGCCGTACATTATTTTCTGTCTATGGCGCAACAACGTGTCCCGAGTTACGGTTAAGAGATGTAAAACCTTATGCCTTGTGCACGTTAAACGTTTCCTATTTGTTTGGCACTGCGATACTTACACGCTTTGCTACGCAGGTCCCAAATTTTTAGGGTGCGATCGTAACTGCCGGTAACTACTTTTGAAGGCTCGCCAAGAAACTTCGCCGCCATCACCTTGCCGCAGTGGCCCGTTAGCGTGTGCTGAAACAGAGAAAATGGAAATGTCGTTTCAGAAACGTTTACCAACACACGCGCGTTCTGCGTGATAAAGGGAATCGTTTGTATTCTACGTGACGTGTGAAAAATGCTCGGCAACAATCGGCGTGTGCGTCCGAGTGGGGAGCATATTGCCGCGGTTCTGCGGAAACGCGGAAAAGTTCTCTCCGGGTTGCCTCAATTACGGAAAATTATCTGTTAAATTTCGCACGCGCGCGTAACTTGTAATTCGGATCGCGAAATTTCAAAGGGAAAGGACAGCCGCTCTGACATTCTCGATGAAAATACCAACTGCCAATTCTCGCGTATGAATTCCTGAATTTGAATGATTTTTCGAGTATAGCTACAATAGTCTCTACTCGAGCGTCCACTTCAGTAGGGGCTGCTGTACTTATTCTTCGTTCATCTTTCGATTCAGAAAGAATCTTCGTTTCTCGATGCTGTTTTAGAATCCTCCAGTGAAAATTTATTAATCACTTCCACAGGAACATGAAGTGTATGAAGTGATCATTGGTTTTAATGAAATTTGACATAAATGTAGTCTTCGAAAAAATATTTGACAGGTATTGGCAGTCATTTATGGGGTGAAAGCTACCCTTGAAGCTGCGGGATACATTTTGTCAAATATCCCAGAAATTACTGAAGATATACATTGATAAAATTAGTGTTTTTTGTAAATTGATAAAATTAGTGTTTTTTAACGACCATAATTTCGCAAAAAAACCATTTACTTGAACAATATATCAAAAAATCCATATTTCTGATAGTTTCTCCAAGTTAATACATTTTATTTTAAATATTTTTATGGAATACATTTTATCTCAAGTATTTTTATCTTAAATATCTGTTTATGGAAATTGCATGTTTAAACACAAATTACGGATAATTTAGAATCTTGATTGTTGCGTAACAAGAAAATTCATTATTTCCAAATCTCTCTCGCTGTACGTGTAACAATTATACAAGAGATGAAAGTAAACTACGAAACGAAAGTCTAACTTTATTAACTGTCAATTGAATTGAACTTAATTGTCAATTACTTTATTACCATCACGTATTATTAATTCCAAATTACTATCTAGATCACCAAATTCACGCAGTTCTAGTATACCATATGAGCAAGACACACTATATAAGTAATTAAAACTGTAATGCAAAGTAATTATGCATCCACTGTACACGGATGACGCGACGTAATTTATGTTGCAACCGAAGAGGCTTAGAGTTCATAGAGGGGGTTTCCTTTTCGTGGAAATTGAGTTTGAAAATCTTCCAAGTACATGGCGGCGAGGGTATGTTCGTGATCCTGCGTGCATGTCGCTGTAAGGTTTGGATGTAATATACATGTATTCTACATCTTGTTTACATCAGCCTGATGCACGTTAACATGGAAGCCTACGAGTGATCAATTAATAAAGTCAATAATTTACTAACCTGCTGAACAACGTTGGCAGGTTTCTAGGGATACAATTCCGTGTATTTGTATAATTCGAAATAATAATTATCTGTATCATGACGGGTAATCATCGCAATTTAAGCAATCCGCATTTAAAACTGAAGTAACAAGAACGTATGTACGTGTAAATGAGACAATAAATGCAGAAAATTAATGCGCGAATATGAGCGGAATATTTCAATATCCTCGTCACGTAATTGCTGAGATTTCATTGAATCAGTAAATACAATTTGATGTTATGTGTCAACATTCGTATTAATAATGATTTTGAAAGATGATCTAAACGCAAACCATATTGATCATTTTAATTTCGACGGACGTATGCATTTTGTCATCGTTCGTTCTCCTGTGCCCATGAAAATGAAACATTCGTTCTATGTGATATTAATTTTCTATTACAAATTTGATTGGATTTTATTTTAGTTTGATAGAGCTAAAGTCTCGTTAACATCGTTAATAAGGCGTAAAAAAAGATTTAACGAGAGCCTAATTATATCGTATCAAGGAGCAGAAATTATAAATTTATAATGAGAGAAAATTATTGTAGCGATATATGTGTGTGTGTGTGTGTGTAATATATTTCGATTGAAGCGCGGGTGATTTTCGTTTTACATAAATGACACACGTGTATATAATTAACTTAATTTCACGAGATATGCCGGCTCCGATAACTCAATTACGAAAATAGAATATTTTGATTCTATCAATTTATTAACATTCGCGAAATAATTAAAATGTAATAACAACGATAGTGCATAATAATTTGGTAATTATATTTGCCAGTAATTCCACGGTATAATCAGTTTACTCATAAAAGTAAAAATCGTCTGTAGATGATAATGAATTATGTATATTATATATTAATTCGCTCCAACCGTGAACGGAATAGAATTGGTAATTTAGCATTTTAACAAATGGCGCTTCTGTAAAATTCTTTAAAGCCAAAACGTTGAAAAACAATTTATATATCTTCTAGAATGAAACATTTCATCTTACAAGTAGAAAAACTACAAATATATTAATTCATTAAATTCTTCACATGATTCTGGCAAAGATTTCAATATTTCGTCTGAACCACAATTGCCGCAACCACTTGCGAATTTGATTCGTCCACGTCTACAATCATCCGCTGCAATTCTAAACAAAAAGAAAAGAACGAATCCTCTCTGTCGAAAAAAACACAGTTTTTAGTTTCTCTGAGAGGCAACTAATTCGTCGAACCTACGTAGCAGTAAACCAAGTTATGCAAGTTATCAATGCGAAACACTTTCCGAAAGCACTTCGCTCTCGCGTACTTTCGCCATCGTAAAACTCGTTATTTAGAATTTCCGATCTGACGGAGATGCATGAATTATAAATACTGTTTGCTCGTTAATTCATGAGAGAACCCCCCCCCCCCCTCCCTCCGTCACTGTCCGATGGGAAAAAAAATCCCTGTCACACTGTGAGAGAGTCGCGATAGAATCGGTCACACGGTCTGCCATTTTCCATTGACGCTTCAAAATAATAAAAAAGCCAGATATAAAGAGTAATAAAGTTATCCGACTTGTATGTATGGGTATCGTCCTCTCTGCTTCGTCGTTTAATGGTAAAGAACTCGAGCGTAACGCCGGACAACTCGAGGGCTCTTGCTGGAGAAGGGAGGTCGGTGAAAAAGAAGAGCTCGCCGATTTTAAGGTACACGGGTGTCGGGAACTCTTGAAAAATGTCCTAATGTAAATTAATGGGCCAAAAGTTTAGCCGGGAGGGGTCCAACGCGAAAGAAACACAGGTGGTAGAGCGGAACAAGGTTGTAGGGAGTGGAGAACGGGGCGGGGGATGAAGAGGGACAGAGAGAGAAAGAGAAGGAAGAGAGTGCATCGAAAGTATACTATAATCTAACGTTTTCGAAGAAGTTGGTGGAAAGTGCAGAGGTGAGTCTCCCCGTTTCTTACTGGGGAGGGCATTAAACGATCCACTGGGTCGCACTTTATCGATTGTGTCGTCCATCCGACGACGAGATGCCGACTTACGATTGAGCGCTCGTCATTTGTTTCACCTCAACCGTCGTTTTTTAGGTTAGGAGCTATTGGAAACTCATCGAAACCGTGGATTTTATAACATGAGGTTAAGGGTAAGGTAACGGTTGTAACATGTATGTGCTGCAACTCAGCGTGGCAAATCAGGAATTTAATTCCACTTAGAAAACTCCAAAGGCGCCTTATAAATTTGGGTCAGTCTCAAGTGTCCTTTTTTCTTTTTTTTTTTTCTTAAATTTTGCACGATTAGCTTCCAACGTGTAAATAGGCAGTAACGTTACGAGGTAATAAAGTAAATTTTGTAGTAATCCCTAATAAACTCTTGGAGTATAATCGCAAGTACTTAGAAGTACAATTAAGCATTTGAATTTGAAGAATGAAAAGCTGAAACATTTCGTACGGGCACTTTCAAACGACAGAGAGACAGGGTCGACACGTTACAGATACGAAAGCGACGAAAACGAAAAAAGAAGGGTGAAAAATGTTCTATATTAAGATAAATAAATAAATGTTCTGTGTTAGTTTGCCGAAGCAAAGAGTTCTACAAATAAAGAACTGAACGTAACTTTGTTTCAAACACAAGGAAAAACCGTCAGAAAAGCTGAAATAAAATGGCGATTTCACCCCAGGAAAACCACTGGCCCGCGAAAGGTTAACTTACTTTATACATAAGAACATTACATGGCTTTTCCCAATCGCACGATTCAACGCTCCAAGTGATTTTTCCCTCGAAGAAAATCACAAGGCATCGGTGGCAACGATTTGCGAACCGCTTTTATCGTCGAGCTTTCAGCCTCGGGTACGGCTCTTTTATCGGCATAAGCACTCGAAAAATATTCTTCGTCTTTTCATTCTGCCTCTGCCACACAGAGTTTCACCACGCGTAAGTTAATAAAACTGATAATTGAAAGTAACTTGTCAATCTAAAATTACATATACTATCACGTGCATCGTTCGTTAAGGTTTTTTAAAATATTTCTGTTAAACGAAAAAGATACAGAGCTGGCGGAGCAACAAGTTTCACATTTACGAACACCACATTTACAACTTTCCTACTCCGTAAATGTCTCCAATATTTTTAATTAACATAATTATAACATTTTAATATTTTCGATACGTAACTGAGCATAATATACGCAGTTAATTGAAATTAAAATACGAAGTGACTCTGTAAACAGGTTTCTGTTTGAATAAACAGTGGAAATTAATTATTACCGAAAATGCCTCTATCTTTCCCGTGATCGCGAAGGGAAATCAACTGAATCGCGCCGTAATATTTTATTACCGCCAGTTACGACGCTCGTGACGCGTAAAAGGATTTCATCAAAAATGAACAAGCGCTCAATAAGCTCTCGCTCGTTCCTTGCAAACGTGAAATCACACGTTATACCTACACGCCGTGGTTCTCGGAAGGGAGGCTTCTTGCAGGCCAAGATTCACGAAATACAGACGACATGGTCTTTTTACGACGAGGAGGACGCGTAACAGATGCATCGTGCCTTGCAATAAAG